CTACCTAAAACGAGGTCGCGGAACTAGCGAATTTAGCCGCTACTCCCTTGTGATAAGAGTTAAATAGAATATAATAAAAACGTCACGTACGATTTGTTTAAATGTCGACTTTCCCATGAGGTCGTCGACCCGCAGGCGCCTCGGACCTCGTTATAATTATGATCACGGATCACCGTAAAACCGCACCCATATCACGGTTATAGATTAAGGGACAATAAAATTCGACCTTGACTAGCCGCGACCATTATGTTTACGTACATATTGAATACTGTCTGTCTGTCACAATTTATTTACTCACAAATAAAGTTACAACTTTTAATTCTCTATTTAAATTTACATCAAATCATTAGTTATGAACGCGTATTACTTGTAAAATATTTGAATTACAAAGAAATGCAAAATGAACATCAAAAAACATAAAAACACTTAAAGTCATTCAGAACATATGTGAAACGTGTATCAATAACAAATCATACAAAGAAACTTTCAAATTTAAGACAAAAAAAAACATTAAACTGCTCAAAATATCCAGTAATTCTTACTATAGACAAATACTAAGTAAGACTTCCTGTACTTAGTGTAGGGGAATGAGTACTAAGTAGTGTTAGTGTGATGACGCGCACGGCCGGGCGTCGCGACTTATGTCACACCGCGTCACGTACCAACAGCTAATTGTCCGCATTATTTATGTATGCTTATAATAAAATCCGGTGTTACTGTCCGTCTGTCAGTGATTAGATTTTGTAATGATATATCATATTCAAATAGATACAAGTTATATTGTTTATGTTGTTAAGTTTTAAAACTTTATAAGTAGCATATATGTTCTTCCAGACTATGTTCTACATCTATGTCAAAATTCTTCAATATTCATTGAGCCGTTCCGAAGATACCTTCAAACAAACATCCATCCAAACATTCGCATTTATAATATTAGTAAGATTTTGATACAAACTTGAGTCTTAAACAAGCTGCTTGAGTTATTCTAAATCATCTTGTTCATTCAGTTGTTTACAAATAATATTTTATTATTTTTAATAAAAAAAACCACGGCAAAGACTATACTAGGCTAAATATACGAAGGAACATGGATGACCTTTAAAAGCACCGGTCGCATTTGTTTGTTTCTCGGAAGGAGAAAAACAAAAGAAACGCTACATTAAGACATATGACCTCTCAAGATGACACGAAAGTAAACTCTCATTTGGAGAATTAATGGTAATGGAAAAGTCGAGTTGCTGCCCCTCCGCCCCCCGCCCCTGCCCCGCGTGCCCCCGTCCCGCAGCCCTGGGGGTTGGTCAGTCGCGACAGGGGATGCTTTGCACCGCGTCTCCGATAATTCTGCTATCTTTAAAATGTATGTCTTATTGTTTTCTTCATTCGAATTTTAAAGACGTGGAAAAGTTTACGACAATTCTAAATTTGAAATTAAAAGTAATGTAAACTCTCTCTTGAGTATTTTTTTTTATTTCGGCTCATTAACTAATCTCCATCTATCATAACTATCAAATTATACAGTAACACAATAATCGCATCTAATCTCCCTCGATGTCAATCTGAGGGCGTGTCCCGTGACGTGTTGGATGACGTGTCGTGTGACGTGGGAGGCTGTTCCCACGTCATCCGACACCGCGCACGCGCCGCGGCCGGCACGAGCACGACAGTCAGCCTGCATGTCACGTGATCGCGGATAATTAGGCGATAAGTGCATTGCTTTTGTGCATGCACTCCGATCTTAAGGTGTCAGATGTTTTGGCAAACAATTGAGGCATAGTTAGTTAAAGTCTCTAAGTTTTTTATGAGCAATCTGTTTAGTTGCGACAGCCACTATGATAGTTAAGGTTGACTTTCTGAAAGTCAATTCGGAATTAACGAGACACGTTATTAATACCTATTATAAATGTGAATGTTTAGATGGATTAGCGTTTGTTAGAAGATATCTTCAGGACACGCTCAACTGATCTCGATTAAATTTGGTATGAATGTAGAACATAGTCTGGAAGAACATATAAGCTACAAATTAAATTTCCTTTTTAATTCGCGGACGAAGTCGCGGGCTTAGCTGTTAGTACATAAAGTCAATTAATTAATAATAGATGTCAATAATTACAATCAAATCTCATAAGTTTTAATATAACAATTATTTAAGGGCCGCTATCAACACGAGCTAGTTTCAATCATTTGATTCGTGCATGAGTCACTTTATGACATCACGCAGTTCAATGAACATTTCTCATCATTTAAGGTCTCATCTCGCTGCATTGTTACTCGGGTGACGAGACATTAAATATAAAAACACGAAACTCGTTCTCGCGCGATCGCAAAAAAACTTTCACCCGAAAAACGGTGCCACTCCCCTTCCAGGAATCGAACCCACGACCCAACATACAATGTAGTCGTACTCGTAACTCGCAGTACCGAATTACCAATAGTGGACCTGACCCCGCCTTGTAATGATGCGGCCATCGCTGTATCGCCGCGACACCTACACTGATCAGGTATCAAAGTGTAAAACCACTATTTAAAAAGAGTTTCAACTTGTTAAAAGTAGTATATCTTACTTCTTACTAATATTATAAATGTTTAGATGGATGGATGTTTATTTGTATGTATCTCCAGAACGGCTGTAAGGATCTCACTGAAATGTGGCATAGACATGGAGCTTTGTCTTTAAGAGCACATAGGCTACTAGTTGTTTTTTATATCCCGCGCGACGGGGTCGCGGACGGCAACTAGTAAAAATATACATATTCTGTAGAAACTACACACCTGACAACAAAAACGGACATATCGCGTGTCGATATCGTCACAGCGAGAACATATTTATTGATAAATAATTATAAGGAAAGGTGTTTTTGCTATTCGTTACTCGTTATCGTTAACCAAATGCCGGCGTTTTCGCTAACGACGCCAAATTACCGGCCCCAGTGACGTGTGTAAACAAAATTATAACAATAAAAGGGGCCTCGTAATGATGAGAGTCGGGAATAAGTCATTTTTGATTCTCGCATATGGTGTGAATGCGGCCCATTAGCGCCGACACTTCCGCTACAATACGCTCTCAAAAAACAAACTGTTAAACACATTTGTGCTAAAAGTTCACTTAATTAATAAAACCATTCCAGCCATCACTTCGATATCAATTATTCATAAACTACGCGCATACTCTAACTTTTTATAACCTATACATGGTTTGTCTATGAGACATGCTTTGTTCCTTTCTTACCTCAACCAATATCTTCTGATCGACCTTTCCTGTCTCACTTAGCCTTAGAATTTAAAGTAACAAACAAGTAATACTTAACTATTGAAGAAAATGTTATACAAGCTGTACTAATCAAACTGGAGTGAGCTAGTATAACAAGTCACGCTATAAAAATACTGCAATTATGTTACCTGTAGATCTCGGGAGCATCTGTTCGATATTCAAATTGAGACAGAGCTGAGGAGTATCAGCCGTGGCCGTGTAATTGAAAGTGTCGGGCGAGTCCGACATCTGCTCCTCGTCCCCCTACCCTGCCCTTCCCTCCCCTGCCACAGCGGTACTCCTCTTTAACGATTATTGGAATTGCCAGCGAAGCAGCGCGTGTTCTATTTCCGCGGCGTCTCACACACATTTTGCATCGTTACAATTTCCGACTCATGAGGGTGAATACTTTTGCGGTCCACATAATGTAACATTTACTCTTTTAATTTAGTGATAAAAATATTTAATGTGGTTTGATTTTTCATGATGCAACCAAAGATATCGGATTATATGAGGCAGTCTCTGTAGCGCGTGCAGCGCTGTAATCACCGAAAAAACAGCGCTTTAATTGCTCACTAATCGTGAAATTGAGTGTAAGCGCTAATGATCGTTAGGTGTTGCGTGGTGGTCGAGGATTGCGCATTTCACATAATTGACTTTTGGTGTTCTTAATTGAAACATAAAGATTCAAGTCTTAGAAGTTGATCTTACATCTAAGAAACTTATTAACATTTACATACGTTCTGTATATTTTGCTAATATTAAACAGACATTCTAAAAGACTCTCAAGTTTACTATCTAGGAATTACACATAGTATGACCGAGGTAACTGGACATCAACTGTGAAGAAAGCGACTTCACGCGTTACGCAACGCGCAGGCAACTTTATTATTATGTATGCCAATAAAGGTGCAGTCGGACAAACCTACGTCGCCAGTGGTCTGATCTGTGATTGTATATCTAGCCATCACATCGCTCCAGCCGAGCTAAATGACAAACTTAATGCACTTTCGCAAGCTGGATAGACTTCCTCGAGCGATCGCCGATACGCAACCATTTCCTGATTTCACTTGGCCTATTACCAACCGACGAGGACCGTAAACTTTACTAACACCCATGGTTGCCATCATATCAAAACAAACAACATATTTGACTAAAACAATAATTTGCTATTCACAATTTTTAACACTGGTTATGATTACATTAACAAGAGTTTTTTGCCGAAATTTTGGGTAAATTTGTTAAAACTGGTAACCCTGATGCGCCGGCGCATAGTAATGAGCAGTTGGCGTGTGCTCCAGCTCATTAGCCGCGCTCCTGGCTCTGCTCCGTGTGTAAAATACCAACTCGCCTCTACTTTCGTCCATTCATAATGTTACGGCCGCGCCGTCGACCGTTACGAAGCAACCTCGGAATGTTTACAGCATTAGGAATGGCGCAGGAGCGCGCTATGCCTGTCACATGTGTGACTCTATTTGCGTATCAGATTGGGTTAACACGTTCACTTTGAATAAAATTGTTGGTGTAACCGCAGTACATATAAGTTCAAAGGATTCTCTGCGGCTTATACCATTATAACAGTTTATTTATATTTAACAATATTATTTGTAAAATAAGAACTTGTGACTGCAACGGGGATATTATCAAGTTTGTCATGTCCATCTCTGCGCTAACCTGACCTAAGTGATAAAATGATTGTTTAATATATGTGCTGCGTGATCTTTTGTTTATTAGTCTGTGTTATTTTGCGCAGAGGCCGCCCTCATCGTCGCTCTCGTACGGCGGTGCTGCGACGGACGACGTGCGGTCGCCGGGCTCGGGAGGCACGCCGGGCCCGCTCGGACAGCCCCCTCCGCAGACCCTCGACGCCACGGATCCAGGTAACCCACTGCTTCATTCTATACACTCACCTCACACAATACTTATACCATGCTACAATAACTATACCATGATAAGAATAACGTATTAGAAGTACTCATAATTCAGAGAATGGTTAGGGGCTTGACTCCGCTTAAGATCTTATAACTTATCCCATCATAATCTTACGTAATAAAAAATAGCTTTCGATGAACTTAACTACAAGTGTAGTAGTGTCATCAGCCGCCAATCAATAACACGAGGCTCGTCGACAAGACATTCAGTAATTAAAAGGGCAGAGGTCGCGATGCGCGCCTATTTAACGTCTCAAGTCGGCCTGTTTGCGCCCCCGCCCGGCAATTAACATGTCCACACGCCGATCTAGATCCGACGCGACGCGTCAACACCCTTCAAGAGCCAATTCAAAACTGACAGCGATACATCGTCGACTTACAATCGGGTCTCACCTTTCTTCGTTGAGAAAAAATGGAGAGACACACGAGCCGCGCTGTCAGGATCACTCGGCGCGTCGCTCGCCGCCTCGTGGCTCGAGCGATTGTCATCCGTCTCTCGCATGCACGTAAATGACCGATGGGTGTTCATTGAAAGACGTTAAGACGTTTGGAGCCCGCGGGCGCGCACAATACACATTGAAATGAGCCAGCCGGCGCTGCCGCCGCCGCTGCGCCGGCGTGACGCATATCGACACACAACATCACCACGCGATTATCATCAATCCGCGGGCCTCGTAATTTGTGTGGGATTACATTGTGTATTATTCAAATGGTGGGCCATTGACTCACAACTAAGTAATTCTAAGAATATGACGTCGGCGCGGATTACTGATTGCTGCGTAGAATAAATTTATTTAGATTTTTTCATAATAAAAACAAAAAGTAATAGGTTAGGACAACTTTAAATTAGCAGTTTTATTTATGGCGAATAGAATACTAACATCTTCATAATAAAACTAACATTGAAGTACTATTTTACCATTTCCTATCTATTTCACCGCGACCATACAAGAAAACAGTAATGTAAACTCTATCTGTGCATACCGGCCAGCGGCTATCTGTTTAAAAATGACAGCCAGTCATTGTGAACGTTGAAAATGTTATGGAAAAAATCAAACGAATAAAGGTGTGATTTCACAAAAGACGCAATCACAAACGCGGCTTTTGACAGCTGTCAAAAATGGGTAGCGCGTTGGCGCGAAAACTAACAAAGCATCAGCGATCGGTGTTGCCATTTTTTTCCAGCATTTCCACGTAGTTTTTCGTTGAAAAAATTATGCTTTCGAAACAGGTTTGTGTAATTGTTTGGTTTGTCGCACTTCGTCGCCGGCCATTGTGAAATGAACGAAATTGAATTTTGGCGAACTGCGTTACACCATTTGCACATAATTGTTACAATTTAATTATTCCTCTATCCTGACGTACGAAGACTCGCTAATTTTTAATCTAAAACTTTTTAAGCCTAGCGATTGCTTTTTTTTCTAAAAAACAAAACTAAAATAAATTTTTAAGTTAAATAGAAACTTTTATATTTAACATTTCTTGAATTCCATTTAATCTATTTACAATGTAAATGATGTCCACATTCGTTTATTTTTAAATGCAACATTGGCCAATGAAGTACAGATGCGCAATGATAATATGAGTTTTTTTACTTCACAGGTTAAATGGTTTGTAATTGCCAGTCCTTTTTTTATTCAATATAGAAAACGTTTTAATTGATCGAGTATAGTTTTTTTTAAATTATTAACTCCCTCACGTTAATGACACTTGCATTTATATTCAATGGAATATTTATGCAAGTATCTGGATCTTTATTTCTTACTTGATAGCTGCTGATTTGATCCTATCTTTGCGTTTTATTTTTATTAGTTAATAAATGTTCTTTAGTAGAATATGTTAGTAAATACTTTAAACATATAAATGCTAACATTGTACCATAAAAACTATAACAATGTGTTAGTATAGATAATGCAAATATCTAAAATACTAAACTATTCAAATAGCCCAGACTATATTTTGGTATGCAAGTTGCTCTCTTGCTGTGAATTCCGAGTAGAAACCATTCACCTTACCTTTGTCTAGTTTAGGACAATTGATGTATTATTTTCAATGTCGCTAAGAGACAGAGAGGCAGACGTAAATAAATTTACACACGTAATTATAAATCGGAGACGGGGCGTCGCCCGCCGCGCCCACCGCGCCCCCTGTACGCCGTATGCCCACCGCAAGGCCCCCGCACTGCTGCCGTAAAGGGCTAACTCGACGCCGTGAATTATTCAAAATTCAAAATTTCCCTATAATTCAATCAGTCCCTCCCGTCCTCCCGGGGGAGGGGGTCGCGGCGATTATTTGCGAATTTAATATTAATTAACCGGCGCGCGCTCCGGCGCCGCAGTAATTGCGTTTTTCAATTATAACTGACAATTATGCGATGAAATTCGGATGAGACGAGATGATTCCGCTAATTGCTGATCGCGCAGACCTTATTTAAAATTCACGAAAGCGCGCAATCGCCTTTGTTGCTGTTAAGTGCAATGCCATCAATATTTAATACCTTATATGCGTACCTAATTATAACCAGGCAGTTACATGAAAATGTTCATATCAAGCATACTGTAAATTATTATCAATTCAACTATGTATTTTCATCTTTCAACGTTCAATTTAGTATCTTTTATTTAAGAAAATAAAGTTGGTCATATTTAAAAGCTGCTAAATTCAGTCAGCTCACTGATCATGAAAGTTCTTCAAAAAGTTCTCAGTAATCTATTATCGAACGTAAAACCTAACTTAATGATAACCTGATACTTGTATAATTGTCAATAGAAATGTAACTGTAATAAGACGATGTAATTTTATTTCGTTAGCATATTACGACGGGGAGGCGGCGAGTGGTTATAAATAAAATTATCGTCCCCGAGTATCCGATGGTGTCCGAGTCGATTTTCGTCATAATTCCCCCAAAGAGGCGCAGCTCGTTGTGCATTCAGCTCGCGGATAGTGACCGGTGCCCGCTGCCCGCTGGCCGCAGATGTGTCTTGAATTCTCTAGCCTCATCCGGGTCTAACGCACTCGCATAATCTAATCTAGACATCTTTAGATCATTGAATACGATCAAAGGTACGAAATCTTATAAAATTGTAATAACCATTTATGGAATTGCTCCAAGAATATGGATCGATGGATGGATGTTTGTTAGGAGTTCTAGACAATATTAGTTAGAATCGTTTGCCGCGAATGATGTGCTTTCGTTACAAAGTCCAGTGTCAGAATGATTAGTGAAGGAACACAAAAGTCGACATTTTAGTAAGGCTAGTGTTGCGCCTATCGATGAAATTTGACATAGATGTAGAACACAGTCTTGAAGAATACATGAGGCTAATTTATTTTTTAATTCGGTACGGACGCAGTTGCGGACAACAGCTAGTAAGTAATGTATAAATAGATCTGAGGTAAATTTAAATAAAACTGCAATTTAAACCTTGATAAATGTTTATAAATATTATGATAATTCTAAGACATGACAATATTTTAACTATAATTATGACAAACATTATGTATATGACACGTGTCATTTGTGCAACGGATTCGTTCAGTTATATAGAAATTACGTCTTAAGTGTAGTCTTCGTGTAAACTTTATTATTTATTTATCTTTATCTTTTATTATTAAGTGTTTCTAAGAAAATATAATGATTCAAAGTATGATGCGGTTAGGTAAAATTAATAGTTACGTTGTCTTCATATCAAAAGATTGATGTCTGTCTAGAAGTTACCTTGTAATAGTTCATGATCATATTGTCTTAAGTGCTGTTAGAAATCTAACTTGTGTTTTAATGTTAACTAGCTGTTGCCCGCGACTCCGCCTGCATGGAATTAAAATGAACTTAATAAGTAGCCTATGTTTTCTTCCAGACTATATTCTACATTTATTGCACATTTCAACGATTTCCGGTTAGCCATTCTGGAGATACCTTCAAACAAACATCCATCCAAACAGTCGCATTTATGATGGTTTTCATTGCAGAAACACTAACTAGCATGGACACATGTTTAATATACAACTATCAAAAATTGAAATAACATGTTTTTGTACATGTGTTTCGACAGTGGAAATTCACAGAAAACATTACTCAAAATTAACATTACAATTCAGTTTTCTTCAATATCATCTCAAGTTCAGTTATTTGTTTGAGTTTATTATTCTGTTATTTGTGTAGTTTCGTTATTTTAGTCAAGGTTTGGATTTACTTAAGTCAAATTTGAAAGAATTTTCATTCGTTTCACTTTGGACTTGTTTGCAAACTATGATATCTATGTAACATATAATTTTACATATGATAACTAGTTATTTACTAGTTACTAAACAGTAAAGTAGACTATTTTAAACAGTAGACCGTAAAACTTATGAAACCGAACATTAATTGTTCGCCACGCCATGCTGCGCGCTCCGCTCACTAACTGATGGAACGAAACGCGGCAATTGATTAGTTACTCGCACGCTTGTCTGTCGCGTTACTTTTAATTTTATGTATTTTTACACTGAATTGTTTTGATTAATTCATTTGTTTATTCACACTTGATTTAGTACAAAAGTATCGTAATTGTTAATGAGTTTAGTATGTATAGTTGTGTTATCATTTAGACCACTTGTTAATAACTTAAAAAAGAGACGATGAGTGAAAAGAGACGTCTGATAATCGATACATTTTGATACAATGAGATGTTTGTCAGAGGAATTATTATGACAAAGTGTTGCGCCTACGTTCATATTAAAGTATACGGGACTTTGAAAGCTTTTGATACTTTATAAGTTTTTATAGGGCATTGTAAATGGTGAGATGATTGTAACTTTAATGCGATCAATCACTTCCAGTAACATATAGCGCTCTCCGCGACCTCTGGGGGCGCTCCGGTGCATCAATATTTCAGTCACAAAATTGAAAATGACCAGGGAGCCAGCGCTATTACATAACTCGACGGAGTATCGAAAACGATAAAATATTAACCGGCAACGATTTCCCGGCGTTTTTCCTTCGAGGCCGGCGCTTACACCGCATCGGTGTGCACCTCACGTGCGGCCGCCACTCACACCGATCACTCTTATCATAAAACTGTTGTTAATAATTCATGCGGGAAGGAGACGCGGCTAGCGGGTCGAGTGAGCAAGCTACACCAGAGTGGGATTATTAAATTCTGTGAATGCTCACTTTGTATCTAATATCGGAAGGTATTTAATATTAGATTAGGCGAGGGCGCGGCGCCCTCGGGGCGTGGTCCTCGCGCTGGGCTCACGGCGCCTTCGTCAGGACTCCAGGGACATGATTGGTTGCTGTCGACCTACTCATTTAGAAATTGATCGCACGATGTTGGGTTAGGTTGTTAGCACATCGTATTTGTACGTCACTAGAATTTGATTGAAGTGTATCAGAAAAAGATTCAATAAAACAAATGTAATTCGACTTATTTATGTTAAAATTATCTAAAGCAATTAATCTTAATTGTCAATTTTATGACGAATTTATATTTTATCAAAGATCATTAAAATTTTAACGTGTTGATGTTGACATATTATCATAGTTAAAATATTTAAACGCTGTTTTTATTTCACACATTAATCAGAACACGTAATAAGATCAAAGTAGTCCGCCTTTGATTCTCACCGCGATGTTATTTCAATGACTTAACGTAACATCAAACATCAAGTCAAGTACACATCCATCAATAATTATATTTACAACAAATTCGTTCTCTTTATACACAACCATGTTAAATGGCGCGCAAGAGAACGCAAGACGTAATAAATAAAAAGCGAGATGTCGACAAAGCGGCGACCCATCCGCGTCGCTTCATACAAATAAATAAAAGAATTAGATCCCATACGAGCACAAAGAAATTGTAATACAGGGTGACACGGTATTGTTCAACCCTTTCCAATTTTTTTTGCATCCAACCGTAGTAATTGTCGGGATAACAGCGTGATTGTCTGTTTGTTTGGGGACAGAGTTAGAACTATTGAAGGCATTTGTAAAATTTCGACTGAGAGGTTTTTGTAAACGTTTAAATAATACTAGTTTGAATTATTCCAATTTAATACAATAAATACGACACAATAGATTAAAAGTTTACAATTTTAAAGTCAAAAGTAGTTTTTACTAAACTTTCATATACAATGTGCTCCTCCTATATATGCTAAGACCATAAATAGACAAAAATCTATGTATAAAACATATTCATGTCATTGGCAAAACAAAGAAAATAATATGTTTTAAAAGATGATGTCTCAGAAACCCACGGTTTTAAATTGATGACATGGTTCCTCTGATTTCTATGCACTTTTACAACTAATGATACATTTGTAAAAATTAGTGTACGATCCTGTCACTTTTGATGACAAGCACTTTTGTCGTTTCAACTTACAAAAGTTTTTATCACACCATCCTTAAGGCTATTGGTATTTACCTTGTTTGTCGGCACGTTCCATCGTAAAGAAACCTGTCATCTTGCTCGTTATATTTTCTGATGAGAAAATCGTTCACAAACCCTACATTAGCGCGGACATTCTGCAACAACCGTAACACCTAAACATATTCTCAAGTTATAAAAACATATTAGTATCTCTCAAACCTGCTATTTATCCAAATGTATAATTCCACGCCGAATGCGCCTCACTTTTTTTATTTTATTATTCATATTCCATCAAAAAGGGTGAGAATTACAATTGACGTACAAAAAGCTGTCAGAATGACAAAGTGATTCGTCATACGAGTGACAGCTGCTCGTGCGAGCGGGACGGCATGCGCCGCTGGAGAGAGATGCACTATCTCGACAATTAGAAGGTTGCGTGTACGCAAGTTTTGCTTCCCCTGGCTTTTTAATATGTATATTTATTTAATCCCGTTTTAAAGCATCGGATAACATTTATCATAAACATTTGAATAAAGGGATTTCTAATGTTATTTGTTAGTATAGTTTATGCTTAAATAGCTCCAATAGGTAGACAAAAGTAGTAGGCTAGACGAAAGAGAAATTAGTTTATTCATTTTAAAAATTAGTTTCTTGTTATCAGTAAAAATTAAAATAAAGGAGAATCATTTAACTTATTCATGACCTCAGGGTGGATGAATCAAAACATTGGAAATGATTTTTGATATTAATAAAAAAAAACTGGATATAAAGCAGAATTATTCTTTTTAAATTGGTTTTACTTTTTTGAATATTTAACCGCCGGAATACTGTCAACCGATTTGCTTCTATTGTATAAGATATAGTATAGGATTCTTCGCACGCGTCTAACAAACATAATTACATACAAAATTTACCATTCAACTCATTAAGCAAGCTACTGTAAGCTAACTACTTGAATGTCCATTAACGACCAGTGTAACTCGACCCCTCAATTGTTCCTACTCTATGTGTACCGCTGTTTCTTTCTAAGGAAAACAAATAAATGACGTGTCTTGTTATCCAGGCAGCATTAGCATTTTTAAATTTTGAAATATTTATTTAAGTAGCCTATTTGAGAATGTTTGTACGTCTTTCCGTGGCAAAGGGCCGCGGACGCAAGTAATGAATCAACTAATATTTAAATAACAATTGCTACTATGATTTGTGGTTATTTAACTTTTGTATTGATATGTATTTATCGATTTTCTATATTAAAAGTTAACATATAGAATAACATACATCTTTACTTGTTACATTTTACATTTCTTTTAAATGTAACATAATTGTAACATTAGGTATTCCCTTATCATAGATTTTATTCTGTTACGAACAGTGGATTTTCCAGATGAGAGGATGCATGGGAAGGGAAAATATTTTCTTTCTGTGCATCCTCTCCTCCGTCGATTAAAGGTAGGCAACGCATATGCAATTGCGTATGTCTATGGGTAACGGTCACTTCGCTATTTCAGCGATTTCAGGTGGCTGCTCCCTCGTTTACCACCTTATGGAATAAAAAAAAACGTATGACTGGAAATATGACCTCAATTTTTGTTTAATTAGACAAATGTTACCTCGGCTTATAAAAGCACTCGAGTAACTAGGATACTGAGACATGAGAGTTCGCTGCAGTGTCAAGGAGTAGTAGCAATGCTGCAGAGAATGTCTCCACATCCCCCTGCCTGTCCCTCGCCCCTCCTCTCATGTTGCGTCCTCCTGCAAATTAGATTCCTAACCGGATGCAGCGGTACATTACAGCCTGCACTTTCAGGAATTCACAAATTGTTTCGGTGGATATTTATCTATATATAATGAAAATGTTAAATACATTTTAATGAATACAATATATACATTTATTATTAAATGTTTATTTAAGCGTCAATAGCCTAATGTTTAAGGGTACGGATTTCCGATCACGAGGTCGGGGGTTCGAATCCCGCCATTAGACTATTGTCGTAAACCATGTCCTAGCACAAGACTAGAGCTTAATTGGAATGATAAAAGAAATATTAGTAAATTTACTAAAAATCTGCTAATATTTGAAAAAAAATTATAATATTAAAAGATAAAAATTGTACATAGAAACTATAGAAAACCATAAATAATAGAGATACATAACCTACCATAGAGTTTTAAAAGTAACACTTTCTCTGTTCATTTTTCTATTTTGCTTGCGTAACAGACATACTCGTAGAATTCAGTCCCATGTCATTCACTGGAGACACGCATAACTCCAGAAGTTTTCCTTTCTCATGAAAATCGTGAGCGGCGGTCCGATGTGCATGACCAATCGGCCCCAATTACCACTTGTATTTGACTACGACCGTTAAAAATATCATACACCTCGTATGTACATAATTTTCACGGCTGTATGTCTATCATTCACATTGGCAAGCTTTGTGTTGCGCGCATTCATCCGCCGCGAGCCTTTGTCTCGGAATTAATTGCGAGCTATTGTTTTCCCGCTCTTTTAGCTGCCTTTACAAAAATGCCTTGTTTGTTCGCCCGAGGATAATTCAGGCGTTGGCCGACTTTTGATTATGCCAAACCCCAAAACGGAACAGTGAATGGATATAGCTTATGTATTACTATATTATACATACATGTATATGTAGGTTGAATACAATTTCAAACAATACGTGACCATGATTATTGAAAACAGAACTTTTTCGTTTTTATTTTCAATATTAACCGTTCGAAATCGTAGAAAATTTTTCATATTTTACAACGAGTTGGGTTTTTTAAGCTATGAAAATATTAAGCAACTAAAGTAACAAGAAACTGTGAATTATGAATTGTTTATCTTTTACATATTAACTACAATAAAAGGCTGTTGTGAAATTGCAACGGAAACGCAGCCGCAACGCACCGCTGACTCAGGATGAGAGCGTGGCGAAGGATTATTAAATTAACTTCAGTTTGATTAATTAACAACTCTAGCCTAGTAAACAACGTTTTTAGTTAACTCTTGATATCATATTATGATCAGAAAATTAATGCATAATCAAGTTTTATAATCTTTCTGAGTTAAATTAATAAATTAACCTTATAAAGTATTCACAATATTTTTTACACAATTTTCTTTAATTTATTTAAAAGGGTATTCAGTAAGCGACTTTGAAATATTAATTACAAATCAAATATACGTTTTAATATGTTAATATAAACGTAAGGCAAATTTATTCATGGCGAAGTGAGACCACACCCATCTCGACTTAACTTGTGTCACTTATTGACAATGGCGAAATTAACATGAGGCTGGAGGGGGAGGCGAAAATATTTTGATTAAAAATTTATTCCACCAGCAAAAAATATGGGGTCAAAGCGACCCCCCAGTAACCGATAGGGGCCTGCCCGACTGACAGATGTCAATCTGCGCGGCGCGAATGAGGGCCGCCAGAGATGGACCAGTTTGTTACTAATGGTTACTATTCATACTGAAATGTAGAACGTTACCGAATTATGTTATTGCGAGCAACACATCATGGACACATTATCTCGTTTACACTTTAACTTTTATATTAAATATAACGATAATACGATTATAGTTTCTAAATAATTGTAATTGTTAAATTCTCTTTTCAAGTTGTTGTTTAGGTAAATATATAATAGCTTTGAAGGATTCTTTAATTGAAATTATTACTGCAGATTCTTTTCCTTATTTATTTTGTTTATTTCACGATCATTTTTCAAAATATCCAAAAAACTATTTACTTTTAAGACATGGAATTTATAATACCAATTTTATATTCGTATTATGTAGTTATAAACATTCTTACTTACTTACTCCGCTGCCGCAGCGACCCAAAGTGTGTCTTGGCCTCCGACACAAGAGATCGCCAAAGTCGCCTGTCTTGCGCCTTCTCCTGCCAGTCCATCGCTTGTAGCTCCCGCAGATCCAGCTCTACGGAGTCTCGCCAGCGGTACCTGGGCCGACCGATATTAGTTGAAAAAGTAAAATTTCAAATATTAACGACACACATCTGACTTGCAATATTATGTATGTCTTTAATACATAATGGCGGACCACACAACTGCAGGCTTTTTATGACAAAATACCACACTAACAATAATTATTATATCATTAATTTTCAATGCAACATGGCGGAGTTATCAACAGTAATTATTGTATTACGAAAAACGTGCAACAACCATGTTGTAGGTAATTGTTGACGACGTGCGCGTCTCGCCGGTCTGTCCGCTTGCATTTGTCATGCCCCACTACAGATGGCACCCCACTAGTGTCATAATGCATCTCATAGCGTTATGACATCGTTATTACTTCGTTTTTATTGATTTATTAAAATGTGAATATTTCGTTTTTCATGTAAAAACTTTTGAATGTAAATCATATTTTCATTTAATATACGAAGTTTTAATCAGTTTATGAAGGTTTTATATTGAAGGAAATCTACGTAAATGTCTCTACTACGTATAAAAAATAACGTTGCAGTGTTTGTGAGGGAAAGGGAAAGCATTCCGCGGTATTTGTTAAGATTTTCCGGCCGAAACGCGTACGGCAATAGCGCGTGATACTAACTCTGGTAGCGTTAGCAAATTCATTTTATACACATAAAGACTGGTCGAATATCGTAACTTGTATTATTATTAATTAAAGCCAATTTATTTAAAGTTTATTTTATTGTAAAAGAACTTCTAAAGTAAAGCGTTTGACGATTTCAGTACATTGAAAAAATCTCTTTTCCGTCTGAAAAAGTTTTGACTATTCGACGATCATCGGTGAATCAAATCAAATCGTAATCGATATGACAGGAAAAAAAATATATGTAAATTCCTAGCAATTCTCAACAGTCAAGGGTCAAATAACACTGGTTATTTCTATAAAGCTACGAAGCCTATTTATAGAAGAACCGTGCACGAGTGAAATTTCCGTAAAAATATTTACCCAGATTGTTATTTCGCTGACCGTGCAAAGGTAAGCGAATATTTATTTTGCCGAAAGTCGCGGTCATTTCGTCCAGGATATATAGAGGAGTGGCCCCTTGCCTATTGTGTTTATATATATTGCATACAAACATACGCACGTCTTTTCATTATAGTAGATTTATTGCAAGAGAAAATTGTATCCGGTTTTTTTGTACTTCGGAATTTGCTGAATGCGAAATTTATTAAGGCCTTTTGTACAATATTTTATTACATTTCTTGTTTATATAAAACATTGATGAAAAACAGCGAAATTACAACAATTCTTAATCAATCTTTATCTAGAAAACTAGATAAGTATCACTGAAGGTCTCAGAGCCTACCCTAAGTC